ACATTTCCAGTATAGATAATTCGTATTGAATCACTGTTATATTTTACCCACGAGCAGTAACCCGCAAGTAGAAGCGAGACCAGTACACAGACGCTTCAAAGCATATTTCCTTATAATAAGGCATGTTTACTTTAGAGTCTTCTCCGACACTGCTTTGCGGTAGCACTCATGGCTGCACGTCCTTTTTTGGCCACAACCAGAGCCGAAAATGACGTCTGTATTGACGACGGATTGGAAAAGCGACGTGAAAAGCCACCTCGTAGGGCAACTGTCGAGGAGAAAACGCCTAAGATTGAAAGTTTGCAAAATAAATCCCCGTTTAGGAAATCATGTAGAATCCAATAACATTCCTATTGATACTGTCATCTTGTTTGTGTTTTCTTGTCGGGTATTAAAGGTGCATCCAATTTTTTGGTAGACACTTCATGCATCTGAACTCTTTCACTGTGTTCTTGACTGCAAATGAACTTTATACTGATTTGTCTTTTCAGTTCCAGAGCATACAAGCAGTATCAATGAATACAATATCTCTATGAATTAGGAATAACGGATAATCCAAATAAGTTTACAATATCCGTAAATTCGGCGAGCTGAATAGCTTCCAAATGTGGCACACAATTTCACATGAATGTGGTGTTAGAAGTGATCGAAACCAATGATTCTAGCCATATGCTTGTCGAAACGAAGACTTTCCACATATCTGAGAGCCGCACTTCTTGCAATCGACTGTAGAGACGGAACTCCGCTGAAAAGGTCTTACATCCAGACATCCAGAACTAAGCTAGCTTTTATTCACAAGATGATCGTAGATCCATAGATTATAGATTGGCGGAATCCATTTACACTCGAAATACCTAAGGAGACAGTTCGGCGACGAAGGAGGGGCCTTTTGCACTTTCGCTGTCCACTAGCTCCGGTTTGCATGTTTCACTTGGTGGAACCTGTGAACTCCTGTGAAGCTGGAGCAAGCTCGTCGAGCCACCATGGTAAAACCTGTCAACTCTTGTAAGCTCATGAAATAGCTCTCTAGATGGCTCGACACGTCGATGGAAGCAGCAAAAATGCAAAGCACCCCTCGTCGTCAAACTGCGCCTCTCTAACATAAGATGCGGTAGGCGTGGCTGCGTACTTCAACTAAACCTGGCGCTGGCTGTGCTTTTGCAGAGATATTCGCATTTTGACACAATTATGGTCGTGTCTCTGTCCAACACAGAACAAGATGGCGATTGTCTCAAACTGAGATATTCGCGCGTGACCCGCCCACGCTACCCCGTCTCAGAGCATAGGGTGAGACTTCAAGCGTTCATGAATCGACCTAACATTTCCTATTGTGAGCTACAGGCGCATCGATCATCGTCACCTAGGTTTATTTATCATCAAATTTATACTAATATTTTCCGAACCATGTTGTCTGGTGGCGAAATGACGTGGCTGAAGACTTAGGTCAGAACGGAGCAAAACGAAGCGGGGCATCAAAAACAGGACTGTCTTTACACTCAATCCACAGGACGTTCCAGGTGCGAAGTGATAGGGTCCGCAGCTGCTAAAGCGTGTCACTTTCTCTGCCCAAAGAATCACGGGAACTGGTATGGGGGTAGTGATACTCGATCTCCACTTGGACGAAAATGACTGACAAGGGCACCCGTGCCATTGTTCCTCTCACCGGCCCTACACACCTCCACTGGCTCCGCACACAGCTCTGCTCACACATACTAAAAGACTTTAACCCTTAGAGTTTAGCTCAACGATTTTGAGAGCTGACGGGACAGAACTTTTTCGGTCGGTTCAACGATTAGCGGCGCAATCTGGTTTGCGACAACGGAGCGCTTGCAATCGCGCAATTGAATCGACCTAGTCGCGAAGTATGAACGCGGTCTGAATTCGGATATCGAACGGCAGCAGCTCGGTTATGATGTTTGGGCTCTCACATTCGCTCATCGAAGCCCTATTTTTTGAGAATGCATACAATGGAGTTCCAAGCCATGTACAGCTCCAATAAAATAACGCACCGTCGACTCATCACTGCAAATGACACGCCATCCTCACGGAAATGGCCCTCGAGGTGTTTCTCGACGTTGAGAACCAAAGCATTACCGTTTTCCCGTACGTCAATCAGTACCATGGTGTCGGTGATTTCCCGTGATATCTCGTGCCACCTACGATGTTGTTCTGATTATTGGAGAGGAATTCAATCTTCTGACTTCCTGCCATTTACAGCGGTTGCTGGTGATTTAGGTCAAAAACGCACCTGTTGTCCTCCTTCAAATATACTTTTGCCGAATTGTCGAGTGCTTTCTCTGTTGTCATCCAGACTCTGTTGTTCCTGTGAATTATTCGTACAAGACGTACAGGGTGATCGGGATCATCAAAGAATGTCTTTAGCCGCTCATCGGCTGGTGTTATCCAAGACACCTTGAAAAGCTTTTGGTCTTAGTGTGACTCACAATGATCAAAGCATCTCTGGAGAAGAATTCACTTTACGAGTGTCTAGATCCACCGATACAATCATACCAGAGAACTCGTCCTCTTCGAATTCGTCTGCGACCGAGTGAAAGCAGTAGAGCATACGATGTTCCTGCCAAGGTTCACTACGAGACCAGGGACCGCTATCGCATTCCACATCTGAAAGCCAATCAATAAAAGGCAAAACCGTGTAATATCAATACAACTTTTGAGAAAGCCTCACAGTGCTCATCATGAATAGCGGCTCATTTTTTGCTAAAATTTGTTATCGGATTTGATGAAAGCTGGGCTCAGGTTTAGGGCACTCTGATCATCTTCGTACTGCTAATGCTAAGATTAACGAAAAAGGGAAATTGCGCTGATATTGACAAATTAATGTCATTTTCGTAACCAGGGAATCAACCAAATATACAAGTTTCAATGGATTCCAGTGAAGGAAGTGGTCGCACCAGATCAGAGCCATTTGACGCGATATGGCGCCAGCGATAAAAACCAGCGCGATATTCGTGATCAAAATGTGAAGTAAACCCACCCCCCCCCCTCGATTTTGGTGAGATATGTGGGGCGCCAAACTGGAGCCAAATGGTACAAGAGCCGAAAAATGAGTACCGTGCCCGTAATCAAGAGTTTTTTTGAGTTTTCCGAGTAGTAATAGTGGAGTGGTGCCAGAGATAAAATTAGTTACAGACAAATTTTACGGAAAATTGATAAAAAGCGTGCATCCGCATCCCACACAACCTCAATGAGAGGACGCAGACGAGCAGACATGTTAGGGTGTCCCAAAAGTTCATGAAAGTTTTCGAAATCGCGTGTAAGATTTTTCTATGGTGCTTTGAAAATCCAGTCCAGTGGTTAATACGTAACGTCTCGTGACGCAGCTCATAATATTAGGGTGTCCACAAAGTTCGTTGGCCATTTGTAAACAGCGTCGCGTTACGCAACGCGTTGTGATTTTGCATAATGGTTTCGCAATACTGAAAGTACTCGCGATGGGCTATCTTCTGAGCTAGCTAGCTCTAAATTTCCTTTCCTGCTCTTCCCACAATAAAGCAGTGAAGATGAGTGATAGTCACCACCACCGCCGATGTTTGCTGGACTACTACAACCTGGGCATCTCACACGACCAGGATGCGTCAGCAGTTTGGTAATAACACCCCTTCTAAGAACTGGATGTCAAAATGGTGGACTCGCCTCACCAATGAAAACTATGGCATCGAAGATATGCCGAGGTTTCTGGTTCTCTCGCCACGGCGTCGTCCACTACAGCATCCTACCCAACAATGCCACAGTGACGGCAGAGACCCTCTCTAAAGAATTGCAGGAGGTCAAGGTGAAAGCTGCCGCCTTGTCCCAGAAACTTGCAAATCCGTGGTTGCTCTGAGACAACGCGCGCCCCCACAAAGCGAGAGATACTCAGGCCGTCCTGGACAGGCTGGGCATCGAGACGATCACGCATCCACCGTATAGCCCGGACATTAGTCCATGCGATTACCACATCTTCCGGTCCATGCAAAATTTCTTGGACGGAAAACAGCTGAAGAACGAGCGCGACCTCGAGGACGTGATCGAGGACTGGGCCGAGTCGCGGCCGGCCAGCTTTTGGGAGGATGGAGTTGCCTCTCTACCCGATCGTTGGCGAAAGGTAGTGGGTATGCATGGAGATTATATCATGGACCGGTAAGTTCAACTTGGTGAGATATCTTTACCAGCTCTGAAAAAACGAATGGCCAACGAACTTTGTGGACACCCTAATAATTCACCGACCAGCTAGTCGCTGTTTTCATATTCGAAATCATAAGTGGAAAACTTCTATTTCGTCGCGCTTGCTACATGAATCTCGACTAGGTCGCAATGTGGTTGGAGCCACACGCAACATTTGCACCCAGATCGAAATGGCGCGATCGCCTTCGCTGACGTCACTTCTACTTGGAAGGCAAACCTCGTCGAAGGAAGAAGGAAGCACGCTGCCGTTCTGGACCGACTATGCTCCCTGTATGAAACCAATTCGTACGTATCGGCCCACTCCTATACAATGCAGCTGGTCGACGCCTGTGGGGTATGTCTTCGATTTCCCTACCGTCCCGCCATACGGACTGCTTGAACAATTATGTAACTGGAAATGGAAGGGGTGTCTCTTCGTGCACCCCTTCCGAGAGCGCCAGCTCCTAAATCCAACAAGGAGGTCAGAACCTAATCGGAACGGAGCGGTGCACAAGAAATGCGAGTCGTGCATGTGGCGTGATCCGTGGAGCTGACCAGGGGTAATTTTTTCCTTCTAACGCTGTGTTACCAGCGAGCTACTGTAATCAACTGCAACTTTCGAAATGACATAGCTCGAGATGATGTGGCGTGGTTGGGCAACGTACCTACTACCATTCCTATCGTGTAGCCCTGATAACTCTTTCTGGGTGGCCTCTCACTTAGTCCCTCAGCAGTCATTTTCCGGTTGGGAAGCATGGTTATCAAAAGCACCCTCGAAAGAGACTTAACTCATTTCCTCGGCACTCAGAAGCGGAAGCTTTTAAGAGCGAGGCATCCACTCTTTCCATGTTTGTTACAACATCTCACACGTATATTGTCTAGTGGTAGTTGCGTTTTAACGAGATAAATTCGACTCAAAAAAAGTTCAAAAATGTGATTCAGCGAGCTCCAATACTTCCTCCAACTGCCTATGTCCCGAAAAGCCTGCCGATTGCAGGTGCCATAAAAGGAGCTGATCAACTTCACCCCACACCATTTACCTGTTTTTTTGATGTTACAATTCGAATCCATCTCGATGACACTAATGCCATTCTCGAAAGGAATAACCATGGTCACCCCGTCATTATTCCTGAAACGGCAGTTTTTCCATGAAGATTCTTGTCCATTATTACTATAGGATAGTTCTGCACCTGGTACTGAATCCCACGCTGCTCCTGCAGTTTCCATATACGTTCGTAGATTTTCCCATGGATAAGCTGGCCTCGCCAACGTCTAACTTCCTCGTCTCATGGTCCATTATGGCGGAGTGAAACTAAACTAATCACTACAGCAATTAGCGCCGGCATTATAAGAAAAAGACAAATTATACAGAAATGTCGTCTCCGTCATCCATCACAGCAATTCCTCGATTCTCTGATGTTTCGTAGAATTCCGCGAGATCTGACGTCGAGGAACATCGATAGTAACTGAAAGCAGCTACTGATTTAGCGAAATTTCAAGCCTGAGCAGTAAGTGAGTGGAATTCGAATGATACATTGAGAACCGACACCGTTTTCTACGGATCAAGGACCGCTAACGCCATTCAATTAATTAGAAATAGAAAAAACGAAATTTTGGGGGGAAATATGATAAATAAATAGATAAATAAATACAACAATAATAATAATAATAATAAATATTGGAAAACACTCCGTTTCGCTTGGCACCCTAGACGAATCATGCACTGTCTCGCTAACCCCCAAGCCCTCCATTCTGGGAAAGTTTATGCGGTAACAGATATGTTTGAGAAGATAGGAACGCTGGCCTCAGTATGGTTAATCCCCACGATTCCGGGCAACGCAAACGCACTGGTTTGAAGAGGACAAAAAACAAGTGGCAAAAGAAGCACTCTACAAAGCGCAGATAGTTCGTTTCACCTCTCTCATACGAGATTGACTACATCGTCAACCTTAGCCCTTACACTGCGATTTCTGGTAGAAGCGGAGTACCCGGCTCATGCCTAAGAGCTTTTTTCATAACCAACACTCCCCGTTTTACCTTTATCCGAATGACATTCCGATTCGTTCCTTAACTTACCAGGAGGTCCCACTCCATAGATCATAAACGAGAAACTTGTTTTGTAAAAGAAATGGCGAATAACACTTTTGCTTTTCCACAACACAATAGACATATCGCTTTCCAGCCGACATAAATCTCCACGTCAGATCGGTAGCGCCTACAATTCAGTGTCCAGTCGAAAAGATCAAATAAGAATTCCCATGACAAAACTCACCCCGAAAATGGAGCTTGTTAAAATTAACAGGTCGATGGGGATAGATATACTGCATCCACATATTTCAATAATACACAAAATAGAGTAAATCGATACGACTGATAGATGACTGTCGGATCAATAGCCCAACATGGGTCGATGACCTGAGACGGTGACCTCAGGACATCCTTCCCTCTTATGTGGGGCATCTGATTCCTTCGGTAATTAGTGCAAGATTGCCATGTCGACCCATGATATAGCTGGTATGTAAAACAAAATTATAAATCGCAGTCTCAGCGAGTAAAGAGGAAATATCAACGGATCACAAAACAATTAGCCCCGTGCTTGTTAAATGGTTGCATATCGATCAGCCAATTTCGACCGGCTCAACGGGACACTCGAACAGACGATAAATCATTTTGTATAAGTCTCCTCTTGATTTTATCTTTGGTATCTCAATTTGTTAATTTGTCGGTATATATGTATTTCATTCTATCTGTCCACATCTACAGTGCTTGATATAATTGATGATGCAACTACAATCGTTTTAGTTGCAGACGCTGGGGCGTGTGGGCGGGCACAGGGGGCGGGGAAACACCGGGTTTGGCAGCGCGTCGAATGACCTTTTCTACACTGCTGCGAACGGTTCAGAATACAACTAAACGGTTTGAAGGATTGAATACTGAATACGTTAGGAAGAGGGGGGGGAAGTCTAAAAATAGCTACGAGTGAGACGTCGCGGAGATGATTAGAAGTAACCACGTTCGTTGTATTTTTTTTCACTTTTTGACGGACGTTATGAGTAAATGGCGGTAGGAGAGATGCAGGAAATGACTCCTACGACCCACGACCGCATGCAATCAATTCATCTCCGCTTACAAGATGATTTCCACTTGAATCTACTCGCCAACTACTGGAATAATGAGATCAATAGAGACTCTCTTGTTGATTTACAAAGGACTCCAGGAAAAATCAAAAAGTCCTCATTTAGAGATATCTGTATCTATGAACCAGAATTTGTATGCCTGCATGTCTATATGAGCGCCTGAAAATTGGGAACTAGGTAAGAAATTACTTTTAGGAAACGGATCACGATTGGGATGGATGCATTGCCCTATATTTAAAGAACATAAACAAGGTAACCCGAGCCCTGCCCACTACAGGAGGGGGGGGGGGGCGTGCGCTGCGCTGCGCCGATGGGGACGGTGCCGAAGACCAAAACTCTCAAAACCGTTCACAGAACCCGGGAAATGGGGTATGTTAGTAAAAGTCAGCAACGGTATGCCAGATGAGGACATTCGTTGTGAGATATGCACTGATTGCGAGGTATTTATGAATGCTGCGTGCTGCAAAAGTAATTGGGTCCCGAGAGGCATACTCGGAACAAGCTATTCTTTTGCGAGGATGGAGGCAAAGCCAAAAATTTGTATTCCAACATGTTTGTTTGTTTGCTTATTTATTTACTCCCTATGATTGGTATAATCATTCAGGCAGATGCATATTTCCACTTCAGTTCATCAAATGAACATCCAGTACCGATCTCCCACATATCACCTATGCAGAAGCTTTGCAATTGCGTACAAGTTAGAAGGCATATACAAAATGTGAAAAGGGAATGTTCAGGTGTTGCAAAAAGTTTACGCCACCTCCCGCGACAAATTGTGAGCTGACTGCCACTTCGGGAAGACGGCTGTATACTGGGGCTCCCAGAAAATTCTGGCACAGGCTACAAAGCGAGGAATGCTGCGCCTTGCTGCTCACTTCCTTTATCAAACACGACGAATGCTCCAATTTCATGCACCCAACACCGGAGCCAAACGATCGAGCGTTTTTCCGCGACATGATGCTTGAGCCTGCTGGCTATCCATTCTGTGCGACATAAACTCTGACGGAGTGCGCCATGATCGTATTGTTTTTAGCCATTCCTCCTACCGCCCGTCATAATACCGCCCGTCATAAGCATTTCTTGAGACATAGCTCCTCGGCTTAATTATATTATCCTACTATATATAATCCGCTAAGTTTGTCTGTTGGTGTGTGTGTGAATGTTTGTGTGTCTGTCTGTATGTGTGTTTGACCGGAAATTCATAACTTCCTTCAAAACAGCGATAAAGCGCTCAAATTGATAAGTGATGTAGGGGGTCGGGCAGGAACATTATTGGTGGGTGGCAGGAAGTGATAACAGTTGATAAGATACCATAAGGGGCCTCAGAAAGGGAGGAGCATCAACTTCATAACGCGCGTCACAGCAAGGCTAGAGCGTTGGTTCCAAGAAATAAGATAGGGGGCAGGATGGAAACATTATTGGTGGGTGGCAGGAAGTGATAACAGTTGATAAGATACCATAAGGGCCTCAGAAAGGGAGGAGCATCAACTTCATAACGCGCGTCACAGCAAGGCTAGAGCGTTGGTTCCAAGAAATAAGATAGGGGGCAGGATGGAAACATTATTGGTGGGTGGCAGGAAGTGATAACAGTTGATAAGATACCATAAGGGACCTCAGAAATGGGAGGAGCATCAACTTCATAACGCGCGTCACAGCAGGGCTAGAGCGTTGGTTTCGAGAAATAAGATAGGGGCAGGATGGAAACATTATTGGTGGGTGGCAGGAAGTGATAAGAGCTGATAAGATACCATAAAGAGCCTTAGAAGGAGTGGGTCACCTAATTCATAACACCGGCCAGAGCAAGGACGGGACGTTGGATCCAAGTAGTAAGATAGGAGCAGGGTTGGATAATTATTGGTGGGTGGCAGGAATTGATAAGAGCTGATAAGATACCATAAGGGGTCTTAGAAAGCGAGGGTCATCAAATTCATAGCACCGGCCACAGCGACAACGAGACATTGGTTCTAAGAAGTAAGACAGGGGCAGGGTGGGAACATTATTGGCGGGTGGAGGAATTGATAACAGCTGATGAGATAGCCAGGAAAATTCACAGCAGAGTTGTAGCAACACTGGGAACTGCTCCAGCAAGTAATTCAGAGGTGCTTAGGGAACATTAAAGGTGGAAGATAAATTCTGACAGTGTCCTACAAGGGGGGAGTCCGTATCTGCTCACATCACCGTAACCAAAGAATCAATGGGCGAAGGCTTAGTAAGTCAAGATGTTTCCCATTAGTAAAATCCCTCAGTTTAGCGGTCGGAATTGCTTCCACCGCTAAACGCTCGAGTTCCCCGAAAAAGGATGTTTGGAGTTGTTTGCCAGTGAGGAATGATAAGAGCCACTATGATTTCGATATTTTTACCATCGGAATCCTTCCAACCGCTATGCTGTCCTATTTCCAACGAATGGTGCTTTTAGAAATATGATAAGAACCTAACATTGGCAAGTGTTCATTAAAAGGGAGAAACATGATGAAATGGGCCGTTTTGGAAACATAGGAATTAGGCTAAGTGTTAGTGCTCAGCACAGGAATCCTGTCAGTTATCAGTAACAAAGTTTAACCATGCGCGCAGAAATGCGCGTCAGCCAGACTGGTTTTATATATACTTGAGGCGGAGGTGGTGTAGTGACAAGTGCGCGCTTACCACTCGCGCGGCGCCGGGTTCGAATCCCGGGTCGACACCCGCCCAGGCCAACCAAGCCTTCTACCCTCCGGGGACGGTAAATTGGTACCAGAGTCCACCGCAAGTCATTGTATAGGCCACATCGCATTCAATAAGCCACTACGATTCTGAATGGAAGTAGAATGCGTGCCGCATCCCACAAAGGGATTGATCAACGGCTAAGAAGACTTTACTATATTATATACCAGTTTGGCTGACGGGCACTACTGCGCGCACTGTGGTTAAACCTATGGTACTGATCACTGACAGTATTCCTATGCTGATCCCTAACACTTGGCCTAATTCCCATGTTTTCAAGTACAGCCCATTTCATCTTATTTCTCCTCTTTCATGAACATTGGCCAATCTGGTGCTTATCTTGCTTCTTCAAACACTCACCATTCCGTTGGAAGTAGGACAGCTTAGCGGTTGGAAGAGTTTCGATGGTAACAATATTGAAATCATATTGAAATGTCCTTCATCCTAGTACTTCCGTTGAGCGGCTTTCATACTCGTCTGTTGACGGCTCTCACTCTACCGCTGCTGACCGGTTGGGCGTGTCAGCCAGTATGAGTGTGTCACCCTCTTTGAGCTGTTTCCTGCCTTCTTGTTGAAATCATGCTCGCTTGAAAAACTCGTGGAGAACGAGCTTGGCACCGCGCCAAACGCAGCCGCACGAACACACCCAACTGTCCGCAATGAACTACACTATATCATTCCTCAGTGACAAACACCTTTAGGCTTTTACTTTTTGTCGAAACTCGAGAGTTCAGCGATCTAATCAATCGCGATTATATTGCTAAAGGATAAAACATCTCGGCACCCGACTAAGCCTTTGCCCAATGATTCTTAGGCTGCAGTGGTCAGTTCAGTTGCAAGCAGAGTAAAGATGCAAACATATACTACCCTTGTTGGGAACAGTTCTCCAGTGTTGTTACGACTTGAATTTTGGAGGCATCCTTTCTGAAGTATCCCCCTATTGTATCTTATCAGCTGTTATCACGTCCTGTCACCCACCAATAATGTTCCCATCCTGCCCTCTATCTTACTTCTTGGAAACAACGTTCCGCCGTCGCTGTGACGCGTGTTATGATGTTGGTGACCCTCCCCTTCTAAGGCCTGTTATGGTATCTTATCAACTGTTATCACTTCCTGCCACCCACCAATAGTGTTCCTGCCCGACCCCCTACATCACTTATCAGTTTGAGCGCTCTATCGCTGTTTTGAAGGAAGTTATGAATTTCCGGTCAACACACATACAGACACACATTCACACACATACACACACACACCAATCAGACAAACTTAGCGGATTATTTATAGTTGGATACTTACCGAATAGGCCTCCGCGGTTTTAGCATTCTAACTAAACGTAAAAAGGAGAGGCTATCGCAAACGCTTGATTTGGTCGAACTAACACTCCAGCTCAACCACTTAAGACTAGTGGAATCAGAACCTTCAGAAAAACCGAAAGGACTATCTTATAGATCAAGGAATTTCAAGCAGCCATCGACAATTCCATGGCAGAACGGTTC